AGGGATTAAATGATAAACTTTAGGAGCTTCGATGTAATTCTCCCTAACTAGTTTGATGGCTAAACTAGCAGGATTCCTTTGAAATCACAATGTACTCAATTATGATTATCCCAAATCTAGTGCAGCATTAATCTTGAGTGCAGCTAAATAATTCAGAAGGAAGGAACTAGGAAGCAGTTTAGCATGCCATACGTGGTCCAGAAGGAAATCACCCAATATTAACACCTCACTATGTGTAAATCTTCTTGTTCTGGCTAACTCAATGGATGGTCCAATCAGTGCAATGTTCTAGTTCAAGCGAAATAAGGATTCAGATGGTTCGTATACGTTCTAGCAACTCAGTTTAGCAACTTAACGCCGTATACAAGGAAACCACCGCCCTCAACAGCGAATTCATTCCTTTCACGACAATTTCCCTTTAGGGTTTCGTCTATAAGTATGTGGTGGGACTCCCAAATTTCAAAGCCAAGGGCACTCATAAATCTTCTGGTTCTAGATAGCTTAGTGACACTCTGATACTTCTTCATCATCTCTCTCTCTGATTTCGGTAAATTTGTTCGTTTCTTGCATCGGTCTTAATGGCTTCCGAAACCAGAAATCCTATTCTCCTTCGTTTGTGCTTTATGGTTTTGTTAATTTCGTTGTGTCTCTTCACTGCATCTAGCGCTCATGTAAAGGGATGTCCCTTTGATTCGATATACACCTTCGGAGATGGCGGTGCTTCGACTTCTGGTTCTGGTGATCTACACATGGTTGATCACCTTGTTTCTGCTTTCCATCTCCCTTCTCCTAAACCATATTCAAAAGAGGATGGAAAGTACCTCAGTTACGGTGCAAACTTTGCAGCACCTGGAGCCTTTGTAATGAGTCCAAGATTCTTCGTCGAAAGAGCTATTCAACCGCCAGCTTTGCAACACTCGTTACGCGCACAAGTTGAATCCTTCAAGAAGCTTCTCGATTCCACATGCTCTTCTGATCATGGGTGCTCCAAAAGGCTTCACAGGGCTCTTTTCTTTGTGGATCGGATTGGAATCAACGACTACAATCATGCATTCTTGGAAGGCAAATCTATAGAGGAGGTTTCCAGGTATGTACCACTGGTTTCTGAAACCATCAAGGACACTCTAAGGCAACTCATAAACGCTGGTGCAACTAATCTGTTCGTATCGGGAAGTCTACCAGTGGGGTGTTTTCCGGGCTACCTCACGCTATTTCGCAGTGAGGATCAAATGCATTATGACGCTCACAAGTGCCGTATAGGGCTCAACACCTTTGCAACACTCCATAATGATCATCTCAGGCAAGCACTCTTTGAGCTGAGGATGGAATTTCCTCGTGTTCAGATCGTCTACCTTGACTACTTCAAGGCTTTCATGGCTATATTGCGCAATCACGATATTTTGGGATTCAAGAAAAATTATTTGATGAATGCTTGCTGTGGAACGGGGGCTCCATATAATTTTAATCCTTCGAAGATGTGTGGAGATCAAGGCGTTAGAATTTGCTCAGATCCGGAATCGTACTTACACTGGGACGGATTTCATATGACACAAGAGGCATCGAGGAACGTCGTGGATACACTCATGAGTAGAAGGGGCTTCGTCTACCCTGAATTCAAATCTCCAGCAATGATGCATTGCATAATGTAGAAGACGAAGAGTTGATCAATCAATGGTGGGTGCAGTCCAACGAAGTCGGTTTTGTCTTAGATTTTCGGATTCAATCTTATTTGGTTTTGGTTGATGGTCTCTCTCAAAAATTCAGTAGATTAAATGTGTATAGATCTTGTTATTTGAATCAATAGAAGTTAGTATTTGCCAAAGAATCAGTCCTCTAATCAATTGGAACCAACATTTTCTTATTAAAGATTAAATTATACCCTAATGAACCTTAAACACAATAGCTTATGTTTTTTTGGCTGATTTTGGCTCTAAAAGTCTCAAAGGCTATGAAGGATGTAATGCATAGGTCTATGTGGCCTGTCTGCGACCCTATAAATGTATATATTTTATTTCAAATTTTTTTGGATAATTTTTAAAATAGAGTCGAATTGATTGGCTTACTTAGTAAAACTGAGCTATAATTATTGGATTATTTAATGAATTTGTGTTGAAATTGTTGATGATCCGATGAAATTGACTTGGATATTAGATTCAAGTGATTATGCAACAAATTTATAAAAATTTAAAATGAATTTGTCAATTCTTTGATGAATTAATCATAAACTTGATTCTACATGTAGTTGGAAAAATTTGAACCAATTTTTTAGTTCTCTTGGAAACATATAATGCTGAGGTATCGTGCGAAAGTTGAATTTTTTATATTCTATATTACTAAAAGTTATGTACCGATAAAAGAACATGCAAACAATAAATGATTATGCATTTAAACTTCTTCTCTGCAAAAACACACAAAGTTCTCTTTGAATAACACCAAATGCGATCAGCTTTTCCTGTGTCTTTCCTTCACGGCCAACCACAAAATAAAACTATATCTAGGAACGGCACCTAAAAACTAGATAATTTTAGTTCAGTTTTGTGGCTGCCCTTTGATCCTAAATAACTCCCATGCAGATTTTGTTAATAAGGGCCAGGGATCCACTGGATTGTATCAGCAATACTAGAGTCAGGCCTCCAATTTTTTAAAGAATTTCATTAATAAGCTCTCTTAAATCAACGCTCACAGGATTAGGCCAAATCCAACTGGTGTTGCACACAACATACTAACCTTAGCTTCTTTATTCATCCCTGAATCTCTGATGATGCCATCTCTTTTAGTTTTGTAAATACTTCCCATGGGATGCCATGGATCAAACTAGAGAAAAGTAGAGTTTTCATCACCAATTTTGTATTTGACATGTGGATGCATTCATCTGTAAGTCTCTCCATGCCCAAGTTGTCTTTTGAGGGATCTTAATGCTCCAGAAGCTTTTTCCTTTGATCAATTAAGTAGCCACCCATTCAGCCCAAATAGACTGCGCATTCTGGTTTATAATAGCACTTAATTGCTTAGCCCCTGTTTTGTTGCTGAGCTTAATGGTGTGACTGATTCTTCTATGGAGCTTTCTCTATTGGGGTGGCACTTGATGCTTGTTGCTATGTGGCCCAGATTTGTCTAGCTATTCTTTTTCTATTTTGTCTAGCTGACATTTCTTTTGTAATAGGAATGATTGTTCTTGTATCCTTTAGTTTTAGAAAAAATGTCATCCCTTTGTTTCCTTCCATTTTCTTTCTCTTTTTGGTGGGGTATTTTGTTTGTTATATCCTTGATGTATAGTTTTTTATTACTGAATCTAATCTTACTTGCCCAAAAAAAAAGAAAAAAAGAAAACTAGATATTGACAACAACTTATTGAAGAACATGATTGAATAAATTCTTTGATTACGCCACTATTTGACCCCATTAGTATAAAATCTGAGTTACGTCCCTATATGTGCCACCACTAAAACATCGTTTTTAAATGATCAATCACTAATATTCATTAAAATTGTGAATTTTAAGGAAACTAATATCCAATTTTAATAGACGATATTTCACACCTTGAATGGTTCATTTGTAAACATGTGTACACTAACTAGTAAGTAAAAGAGAATCACATATAGTGACATAACTCGAATTTTATACTAATGGGGATGGATAGTGGCATAATCAAATAATTTATTCATTCATGTAAATTCGAATTATATATTTCCAAGAAAACTAAAAAATTGGTTCAAAATTTTCCAACTACATGTAGAATCAAGTTTATGATCAATTATTCATCAAAGGATTGACAAATTCATTTTACATTTTATCGTATAATCACTTGAAGCTAATTTGCAAGTCAATTTCATCAGATCATCAACAATTTCAACACAAATTCATGAAATAATCCAATAATTGTAACTCAATTTTGCTAAGTAAGCCAATAAATTCGACTCCATTTTAAAAATTATCCAAAAAATTTGAAATAAAAAATATCCAAACTACATAGACGTATGCATTACATCCTTAATCGCCTCTAAGACTTCATTTACATACCTGTAGTATTTTAATCGATAGAGGATTGAAAGCTGGCAAGGATGCAAATCATATCCTTGAACATAATTTGTTGACTTAACTATTTTTTTTAGGTGCACGAAAATGATGCATTAATAATGATCTACAGTGTACAAATAGCTAAGTTATAAAAAAATAGTAACTAATCCCCTCTTTCTATGTTTAAATATTGGGTAGGGTCATGGAACCAAAATAGGCCGCTCAAGACGGGTCAACCCAACTAGAAATGCCCAAGGGATATGTCACAGTTTCTACTCTTGATGGTGTTTATTTACCTAAAGGAGGACTATGTTAAAATTAAAAGATATGTAACTGAAATAGATGTTTTTTCATGACATATTTTTGTTGTCTATATAAACCCAGTATCTTTCAATGCAAGACAAGTATCTTTCAATGCAAGACACTTGAGAAAATTCTTTTAAAATTAAAAATCTGCTACTCTATTTTTCTCTCTCCCTCGACATAGATGCCTAATGTTCAAGAAGGCTTTTGTATTTTGAAAAGTTTGTATGAATTCCTCTTGTGTAATATCACCATACCGCTCGAGTAATTAAACAAAGGATAGTGATTTTAAATTCTACATAATGTAAAACATTCTCCAAATTTTCGGGATAAAAAATGAATAAGAAATATTTTTGATCCTATGTATACGATTCCCAACATCACCAAAAAACAATGGGGGATGGAAGAGCCAAAAATCAGCAAAAAAAACGTAAGTCATTGTGTTTGAGGTCAATCAGGATAGAATTTAATCTTTAATAAGAAAATGTTGATTAGAGGATTGATTCTTTGACAAATACTATCTTCTATTGATTCAAATAACAAGATCTGTATACATTTAATATTCTGAAATTTTTAAAGAGACCTTCAAACCAAAACCAAAGAACAATGAATACGAAAATCTGAGACAAAACCGACTTCGTTGGACTGCACCCACCAAAGATTGATCAACTCTTCGTTTTCTACATTACGCAATGCATCACTGCTGGAGATTTGAATTCAGGATAGATGAAGCCCCTTCTACTCAGGAGTGTATCGACGACGTTCCTTGATGCCTCTTGTGTCATATGAAATCCGTCCCAGTGTAAGTACGATGCCGGGTCTGAGCAAACTCTAACACCTTGATCTCCACACATCTTCGAAGGATTAAAATTATATGGAGCCCCCGTTCCACAGCAAGCATTCATCAAATAATTTTTCTTGAATCCCAAAATATGATGATTGCGCAATATAGCCATGAAAGCCTTGAAGTAGTCGAGGTAGACGATCTGAACATGAGGAAATTCCCTTCTCAGCTCAAAAAGTGCTTGCCTAAGATGATCATTATGGAGTGTTGCAAAGGTGTTGAGCCCTATACGGCACTTGTGAGCGTCATAATGCATTCGATCTTCACTACGAAATAGCGTGAGGTAGCCCGGAAAACACCCTACTGGTAGACTTCCCGATACGAAAAGATTAGTTGCACCACCGTTTATGAGTTGCCTTAGAGTGTCCTTGATGGTTTCAGAAACAAGTGGTACATATCTGGAAACCTCCTCTATAGATTTGCCTTCCAAGAATGCATGATTGTAGTCGTTGATTCCAATCCGATCCACGAAGAAAAGAGCCCTGGAAAGCCTTTTGGCGCACCCATGATCAGCGGAGCATCTGGAATCGAGAAGCTTCTTGAAGGATTCAACTTGAGCGCCTAACGAATGTTGAAAAGCTGGCGGTTGAATAGCTCTTTCGACGAAGAATCTTGGACTCATTACAAAGGCTCCAGGTGCTGCAAAGTTTGCACCGTAACTAAGGTACTTTCCATCCTCCATTGAATATAGTTTAGGAGAAGGGAGATGGAAAGCAGAAACCAGGTGATCAACCATGTGTAGATCACCAGAACCAGAAGTCGAAGCACCGCCATCTCCGAAGGTGTATATCGAATCAAAGGGACATCCCTTTACATGGGCGATAGATGCAGTGAAGAGACACGACGAAATTAAAGAAATCATAAAGCACAAACGAAGGAGAATAGGATTTCTGGTTTTGGAAGCCATTAACATCGATGCAAGAAACGAACAAAGTATCAGGAAGATGACGGAGAAGTATCAGATTCACTAAGCTATCTAGAATCACAAGATATATGACTGCTCTTGGCTTTGAAAGTTGGGAGTCCCACCCCACCTCATACTTATACACGAAACCCTAAGGAAAATTGCCGTGAAAGGAATGAATTCTCTGTTGAGGGCGGTGGTTTCTTTGTGGACGGCGTTAAGTTGCTAAACTGAGTTGCAACTTGGCAGTACGTACGAACCTTCTGAATTCTTATTTAGCTAGAACCAGAACATTGCACTGATTGGCCCATTATTTGAGTTAGCCAGAACAAGAAGGTTTATACATAGTGAGCTAAGCGAGGTGTTCATCTTGGGTGCTTTCCTTCTGGACCACGTATGGCATGCAAGATTAATGCTTTGCTAGATTTGGGATAATCATAATTGATTACATTGTGATTTCAGAAGAATCCAAAAATTAATTTTTTTGTTAGTTGAGACATCAAACTAGTTAATATGTTATATGAACCTTCCATCAAATACCAATAAAATTTATAATGGAATCTGTGATTGTTCGTTCATATAACATATTAACTAGCATCCCATTTTAAATAAATCATGAAATATAAGAAATATAAATCATATATTTTAAATAAATCATGAAATATAAGAAGCATCCCAATGCAAACCTACTCCAATGACCAGCCTGCCATTTTCTTCTTCGCTAATCGATACCCCAACTAATACGCAAAAGCCACCAATTGCCTTTAATCCTTATCTAGTAATTTCCAGTTTAATTCATATCATGCTAACATAATCTTTTTGAAAAGAGTAATGCTACATAAACTTAAAAATTAGATTTATAAACTAGACATAATAATTATAACAATTAATTTCATTATGGGTCTCAGTATTTATTGGGATGTACTACTTATTCAATAATTGTGATTATTAAATTTAATTTTTAAGTCTATGTAACATTATCCGAAAAGTTCCACTCTTACTCTGGACAAACCTACCACCAACAAGGCAATAAGTATGAATCCCTATTCTAGCCTACATGAGATTGGGTCCCTTAAAGCATCTCCAACATAATGCGTTAAACCCCAAAATAGTTAAAATTTAGTTATTCAAAGATAAAAAACATGCTCCAAAAGATATTCAAAATAGATAAAATATATTTTTGTTACAGTGATATTTTAAATATAAAGTATCATTTTAGTATTATGTATAAATAATTTATAATATATTCTCCTTGCTCTTGTCATTTTTTACTTTTGTTGTCCACTTTTTCTCTCTCATCCTTTAATAGTTTCAACAAATGTACAGGAAAAATAATATTCAAAAAAATTAGTTAAAATATAAAAAATATGTAGGAGTATGTATCGAAAAAATAAATAGTTAAAATAAAAAAATACACTTTTAAATAGCTAAAATACAAAACCTTATCTAAGCTTCCATTGTGATGGCTTGACCCTTGGTGTGAGAGCAAAAACTTCTAATCAATGGATTGAATAGGTATACGAATAGAGGATATCTCTGACAACTATAATTTCTTTAAAAAACTATTGAAAATATATCCCGATAAAATATGACGATGGTCTAAATCTCTTACATTTAATGATTTAAAAATTTATATTTTATATTTTATTCTCAGTAAATCTACTCATTTTTTTACTTTTTCAAAAAAAAAAAGAGTAATACTATTTAAACCTAAAAATATGTTCTAGTTACTGATCTAATGATGTGAGTTTATTGGAACCATTGTATCAACACTAAGTTCTAAAATGTGATTGAGTCCGCAATCAATCTAAATGATCATAGTCAATTAGGTCAACAAATTATTTTAGTAAATTATGTTTCAATAACCTAGCTTAAAAAAAACTATCCACTTACGTTTGAACCACAATAAATGTACCAACTAATAATTTAACCATTGTTAAAAAAAAAGTGTGTGTACACTCGGTGGTATGATGTACGGGATGCCACTAGTCTATAATTATTATATATTTTTTTTTATAAATATGGTAATCAGAATTAGATAATAATTATTGTGGCAAAACTCTATCTATGTATAGAGTTACATGAAAAATAATTATATAAAATATAATGTGTAGAAAATAGAAGTGATTCACTTACTGGAATGTAGAATAGTAAGAAGAAATAACATAAATAAGAAGAGTCCGAGCCTTGTCAAACACAGTTTTCTTAAGACATATTTGTTCTCTCTCGGTGCTCAAGGTTGATAGGTAACTGTCTCTCAAGATAAAACGAATTTTGTCTTTGAAGAAACAATACTTCAATATCTAAAAATCAACGAACACAATAAGGGTTTGCACTTAAATCGAACAAAAATTTAATGCGCAGAGTGAGAGCGAGAGAGAGAGAGAATTTCTATATCGAAAAAAACTTCAAAGGAGTCCTTTTATAGGCTATTGTATCTATCCAAACTGTATTGAATATATTGAATATACACTACTGTTTAATGAACATTCATGAAAGGTATCTCTTGGGTGTAAATAGATACTCTCAAAATAGGCACCAAATTCAAAAAATAACAGATAGGAAATTTGAATTTCAATTGGAAGAATAAGTGTGATTTGAATCTAAATTTGTTTGGTCTGACTCACAACCTGCATCGCGTCAAATAAAATTTCAATAAAAAAAAATTTTCTTGTTGGCCCAAGTCCCAAATCTGGGTCGTGGCGGGCGACAACATGATATGTGTGGAAACCAATTTTGTACAAAATTATGGTACCCCTTGGGGCCAAACCTTAGAAGCTAACTAGAAATATATAAACTCAACAAGTTTTCAGTTTTTAATCAATTTGGGACAAAGCTTGTTATACTTAGACTATATCAGTCTTAATTTCTTCCATCCATTCAAGTGAGTCATCTTGAAATACAATTTCTCATTCTATATCTAATGGTTTTGAACAATTGAATATACCATGTTAATTTACTTGTGGAAGAGAACGCGTTTAAACACAGTCTCGTCAAGTTCGAGATGTGAGTCCCACTATTATTTAAACCCAAATTTGATCCAAATCAAGTTATTCAAAATCAATTTTTCAACAATCTCCCATATAAATGAAAATTCATTGTATGAAAATGCAAACACTAGTTTAAATACAGTTGAATGTGTATTTCTCACGCCCCAAATTTCACAAAAGTATGACTTAAATAAAACATCATGTTTTTAATCCAAAATTCTTGTTGGTTTATAATGAGATTGAATGCAAAAATTCATTTCATTTTAATAAAACATTTTTTTTTTCAAATATTTAGTAGAATTTTGTTTTAAAATCGGGCATTCCAAATATTGGCAAGAGCGATCTGTGAGAGCATTATATATAATAAACTAAATTCAATTAACTATCTACATCATATCAACCATAAACAACTAACTAACATCCTCATCATTAATTCATTACAAAATAATCCAAAGATGGGGTAACAAATGGAGATCCACAAAGTCCTCCGAAACCCAATATTCCTACACAAGCTCCATCTACCAAAGCTTAACACTAAAGTCATAGTTTTATATTACAATACCCAAAAGAATAATCTATCATGAAGTAATTTAGTTTACATCAAAAGCTCATCAAAATACCCTTCAAATAAAAGTTTGTGTATAATCATATTTCTATACAGCATTCTAAAAGTAAATACAAAAAAAATTTCAAAAACAGTCCCTCCTAGCCTAGTTTCATCAACTTATTCTTTCNCATATTTCTATACAGCATTCTAAAAGTAAATACAAAAAAAATTTCAAAAACAGTCCCTCCTAGCCTAATTTCATAAACTTATTCTTTCCCTACAAGTATATGAATAATAAATCTAGTAAAGTCATTATTTCTTGTTTTGAACACAATTTCATAAACTTATTCTCTTCGGATTATTTTTTAAAAATATTAACTCAAAAAGGTTTGTTGGAATATTAGTTTGTTGGCGCCCAAAATCCATGTATTCTATCTGCATGGACAAATATCACCAAACCAACACCAATTCATGAATAAACCATTTTCAAATTTTTTTTTGGGTTTTGCATCATAGGGTCTCATCGCTCTTAAGGCTGGTTCGATGTAAATGGGGGCCCTATGCCAAAGTTTTAAATGGAGCCCTTTTAAAATTTATTTTAAATATATTATATAATTTATATTTTACTTAAAAATCATTCTTGTTGATTGTGACGCAAATTTAATGATTAAGTTTTTACATTCAAGTTTTACTAATATATCTTTTTCAATGGATAATAAGGAAAATTCATTCAAACTTTCTTGTGACATAATTAATCATAAGTAAGATTTTATAAGTTTTAATTTAAAAAAATAAAATTTCAATAGAAATAACTGTTATGGTATTGTCAATACTATTTTATAAGCAATGCATGCATTTGAAAAAGAATCTAGCCTTTTGATATAATTTAATATTTCTATTGGAATATTGCAATCTATTTGTAAAACTTATCTTGAGACTTTTAGTTTTGAAAATAAATCTAATCTATTGATATTGAAAAATTGATCATATTTTAAGTTCTTAAGGTTAAGACAATAATTTTTTTTAAAACACTCAGCATCTAATTATTTTAATTTTTTTAAACTAAATAAGGAGACAAAAATATTTTTATATGATTTAAATTGTTCAAATCTAAAAAGAGTAAAATATTTGATTAAAATGAGAAAAAACGGCTGAGTTTTTTTGTTTTAGTTTGAGCTTTCTTTATGATATATATTTAGTTGGGGTCCACACAGAGTAATTTTTTTGGGGTCATGTATAACATTAATAATAACATTATTTGGGGCCCTCTTTTTTGGAGGCCCTATGCAAACATTTTGAGTTGCTTTCCTATTAGGCTGACCCTAGTCGCCCTTCTTGCTCTTAAGGAGGGATGTTACTAAACATGATTTGATTTTTGCTAATTGTTCCTCTATCCAATCGAAGTTATTAAACAAGATTTCATTGTGGTAACTAAACGTCACTACAAGTAATAGTATTTTCAAGGGACATCG